AACAATAGCCTTTATGTTGTCATAAAGTTCAGTAAACAGATGATATGAAGCTGCTGCACACAGAGATTCTGGGATCAGCTGACCTGCATCCAGAACATGATTTGCATAACTGTGGGCCGAACAGCAGGGCAAGTCCCGAAGAAAACCAGTTAAGAAATTGAAAAGCTAAATGAGTTAAACCATTTTTGAAACGAACACAGCAGGATAAACTTAAAGTATATGAACTTTGATGCGATGAGCCGGACATTGAGAGCAACAGACAGAATTTTATGTCACGGGGGAGTGCCGAGCTCGCTCGAGGTGATAGACGCATGTGCTATGCGTAACGTGAAAGCTGACTACAGTTGGGAAATAAGAGCGCATAAATCGCTTAATTTGGCTTAAAATACAGACATTCTGACAAATAAGTAACTGTTTGTAACCTTACCTCAGCTTAGAAGGCAGAGGGTGTCGGTCTTTTCTGCWCAGATTCAGCTATCGGAGCATGATGCTAATGTTTACTCACAATGCTAATGCTCTCTTACTCTCTGGCGCTCAAGCTGTGAAGTAGCCAAGTGGCTGGCTCACTGCGGCCAACTAGTGGTCAGAGACTGAACTACAACATAAAAATGAACAACTGGCAGGAAAGTTGACATTTTAAACCTTAATAAAAAAATCGATACAGGGCTTTAGAATATCGATACAGTATCGGGAAATGAAACATCAAGATATTTCAGTGTATCGATATTTTCTTACACCCCTACAGGCTATACGTCAAATTCTGAATTGTGTTGATATATAAATAAATTACAGAACTTTTTTTTAAATGTTCATCATATTTGAAGTAGAGAGCAGCACCAAGTGGACTGACCGGGAATATCTCCAGTCAGTCCGCCTGCTGGGATTGATCGTATCAATCGTCAAGTGCAAAAAAATAATCGATTAACATTTTTCTGACGATTAATTGCACACGATACGATTATGCCCAACCCTAGGTCTTAAGCAGCTATGTTCCCCTGCTCTGAGTTTAGACCCTTAAAAATAACTTTTCAAATGTCGGTCAATTTTAGATCACAGGTAAAATTTCACTCCCTTTTAAACATGCTCGTTCATACTTATGACTTTTTAACACCAAATGAAATTCTGCTTTAATAGCTTAAACAAATTAAGATATACTGCTCGACAGGTCATGTTTTTATTGATGCAGTGGGAGTTTTTATTGTTTTAGATTCCTAAGCATATATCAACATTAGAGCTGCCACAAACAATTATTTTTATAATCGATTAATCACCGATTATTTTTTTGATTAGTCGACTAATCAAA